CTGATGACAACAAAGCCATTCCTTGGTAACATGAGGTTAAACATTGGCTGGACTCCTGATTCATAATCTTCAAACATTTTTGTGATATAGGAAAGCCTCAGTAAAACTGAGGTTCTAAACCAAGATCTGTGTCTCTAATAAACACAGATATCCTGACTCATATTGAACACCTTCCTTTTTCCCAACAGCCATTTATTTTGGTTTTGCATGTTGGAAATGCACCTGCTCCTATCTAAAATTGTGAACAAAGAGCTAAGTAAGAATCTGAGTCTGTTAGTTTATAATTTAATAAAATACTTGAGATCTACCAGTTCCATAGGCAACAAGACTCACAGACAAAGAGAAACATATGTTTTGTGACATTTTGTGGCTGGCTGGGAAAGCCCAGATGCTGATGAAAGCCCAGCAGTGTTATGTTGCTGTGGCAGATAAACTTCAGACTCACATTCCCCTGCCTTGTTGGCATTCAATGGCCACAGCCCCGGACTGAAAAAGTGAGGAAAAAAGTGTAGTGTCCAAGTCTTGTCACCTTCGTCACAAAGGGTTAACTCCACAGAAATCTTTCACTTCTCATGCTTGTTATTTTGCTCAAATTGATGCTTTAAAAATACACCTCCTTTTTTCTTCTAAACATTCTGATGCAAAGGTTTCTTCAACTAATTCCAAACCTTTGAGCCTCTGGGACAGTCCAGGGTGTGACTCATAGGTGGGGATTTGGGGATTTTTTGCCTTTAAGCAAAATAGTTGACTTTTCCTCCATCTGCCACTAAACCTTGTCAAGAAAGAATTTTGAAACACCAGCAGCCTTTGAAGGCCTACTTCACACCCACAACTGTGTATTTACCAGCCCAGCTTCTAAAACATGAAGAGGTAAGGAATCTTGCCACTAAATAGGCGCAAGCCTGGCATCAAATTTAACATTGTACCAGGCCAAGCAAGTGCCAAAGGGCAGAGCAATCTGCCCCTGCTCTCCGGGCAGCCCTGCTTTTCTTCTGAAGGACAAATCAAGGGGCTTGCAAACTTTTCACCTTGTGACATTAAATTATCCATCATCTAGGGATGTGCACTGACACCAGAAATGAAGTGAAGCATATTTCTGGTATTTTATCCCTGAGGGAAGTTGCAGCCTCACTGCTGCCTTCACTGGCACTTCTCCAACAGCCGAGTTCCTCAATCAGCTGCTGGCAGCAGAGTTGTTTTTTCTCCCCCATCTTTACCATGTCTTCTGCTTTCCTGCAGTCCAACTAACAATCTTTGCTTCATGAAGAGCACAACATGTGAGACTCACTCAGTCATTTCAGAGATAAAATCATTGCACACTGTAATGATTAAATACAGCCTTTATTATGGAAACACCAATAATAGAAAAATAAAGAGCATATCTTACTTCTCATAGCAAGTTATTTTTAGCAGCCATACATTATAGCAAGCTAGAAGTGATCAGCCAAGTTGTACTCAAGATGCCAATCTAATCTCTCTTCCTCTTTCAACTGAATTAACAGCTGTTTCTTAATTTGTGCTTGTCCATCAGAGAACAGAAACAACTGAAAGAAATTAAACCCTGCTTTTTAAACTCCTCAGTGACTTGTCTAAGTGTGACATCATTGTGTTTCTGGGATACCCTAATTTTGCCTTGGGTGTGCAGAGATGGGGATGGTCTGGCACGGGAGCTGCAGCAGAGCACCAGGGAGCCATCAGGATGTGGGGATGTGCTCTGCTCCTAGTCCCTGTGATGGTCCCACGGCCTCCCGACCAGCACACGCTTGCACAGAAGCCTTGCTTCCCTGGTGGATGCATCACATCATCAGTGCATCACATCACCCGGATCAGCACCTTCTGGCTCAGGGCTGGGTTGGTCTGAGCCTGCAGCTGGGGGAAGAAGTGAGCTGGGGCTGCTGAGTCACTCTGGGACCCAGCTGCAGCCCCGTCTCCTCCCACAGCAGACAGAACTACCCTGCTGCTCCATGGGCCATTACAGCCCACCTAGCGTGCAAGCAGTTCATCAAATATCCTCCTTTTGTATGATGTTCTTTTAGGGACTTTTTGCTCAAGATACTTCCTCAGACAAGATGTTTAAAAGAGCAAGTCTGGCAACACCAAGAGGAATTACCCTACAGAGTCTTCCCAGTAGGAGGGAGACCTCAAAGCCACTCCATTAGATAAAAAAGTGCCAGCTAAATACATTCCTATATTCTGGCAGAGAATAAACATGGGCATCAGCTTTTAGAGCTGCACATGGCAGCTCAGGGAGCAGCTGGGCTGTCTGATTCTAATTCAGCATTAAATCTGGAGAGGCAACATTCCCTCCTATACTGACACATCCCTGCTGCAGGCTGGTTGAGTTTGGGATCAGGGATGGAGGTGATGGGATGCAGGCTGGGCCACAGCTGAGAGGAAGGTTGTACTTCAAGGCTGGGATCTCCTGATGCAGTAAGGATTTCTCCAATGGACACTCTACTGCTGTAAAGCACTAACTCCATTGGATTAATTTTGCTGCATGTTGGCAGCATTTCCTGGGAGCATCCAATCATTTCATTGGTTTGCACCACGTGCACTTCACCGGTGCCAGTTACAGCAAGCCCAGAGTATCATTCATGTACAAATGGCAGAATGCAGCTTCATAAAAATAAAAACAAAAATTAGCAAGAAAACAAAAAACAGCAAGAAAAAGCATAAGAGCAAATAAGGTAAATCTGAATCCAAACATTGTTCAATACCAACATGTTGATTCACTGTAGGAAAAAAAAAAAAAAAAAACAAAAAAAACAAAAAAAACTATGGGGAAAAACATTATTCGTGCATCACTAGTAAAAAGTCCAGTATTAACAATATTGTCACAATATTAACCACAGAATTAGCAGTCATTAGTAACTATTTTGTCCTCATGCTGATATCAGACTTTTTTAAATGACTCAATATTAACATAAAGCAAATTTTCAGAACAGAACAAGCAAATGCTATATCCATGTCAGTAGAAGTAACACAGATCACACAATCCAGCAACCCAAAGAACACGTGAAATGGGACTCAGCTTTGACAAGGGAAGGATGTTTGATCCCTGGGCAGAACAGCTTAGGCCAGACCACATGCTGAGCTTTTTAGGCAGCTTTTGTTAAAATGGCCACATGTAGCAGACTGGGACAGTGACATCCCTACTGCAGGCACATGCTCATTTTCAAATGGAAGGCCTTCGTCCATTTACCTTTCCTCCCAGACATCTCATTTTTTTAAAAAAGGTGAATGCTTTAATTGAGTATAAAAATCTGCTTTGTAAGCAACAGATTCATAGGATTAAGTAACCCTGAGAATTAGAGGGATCTTACTTGGCCCACGGTCTGATTCCAGAGGCTGCTTTGTCTGCTAAGGGAGAAAGGAGGAAGGGAGAATGAGCTCAATAAAGCTCACTAAGCATTATGAACAGTGCTGGAGCCCTTTTGCAAAAGAATAATTGAAATACTTACATTTTCATTTGAGTATTCAACGGAATACAGTCCAAATCATGGTGTCTGTATTCAAGGCTTGAAAGTTTGGTGTCCTATTTCTTGTGCTACTTTACCTTATAAATGTATTCAGCTGTTCCTGAGCTCACAGCTGGTTCTGATGTTTCTCCAAGTGTAAAAGTGCTTCAAAATTGTCTTTATCTTTCTTATTTATTGGTTCATTCAGACTCAAAGGGAACATTTCTAGAGAATGTTAATTACTTCCACAGCTACATATTATACTGATTATAGAGCCGTATGGCCATGTTTCCTGCTTCACACAGACCAACATCTCTAATTAATTCATAGAACGGAAAAATTTCTTTTCTTTCTTCATTTAAATAAGTCAACTTGCAATGAAGTTTACTTTAAATAAGTAAACTTGCACTTTACTAGTGAAATACTAGTAAAATATCAAAACTATTTTTAAAATACTTAAGGGAATATCTGACATGACATAACCATCAATTTTATCCAGTGAAAATCCAGTGAAGTTTCATCACCATTAATAACTGCGCAGGATTTGGGCCATTATTCATAGAAATTAATTAACTCCCAGCATTTCCTTTTTGTTTAGATACAGATTAAACTGTCAGGGCATTTTTGCTTATGACTTCAGTCTTTCTTATATTTAATGAGAGCAATTCCACAGTCCTTTTCCAGGCCAAGCTTTTATTAGTAAAATTTAAGCCATTATCCTAACTCCTTGGAGGAAGTGTGTTCTTATTAATATTATCTTCTCTTTTGCAAATGTTTTTGTACATAATTTCTTATCATCTTGATATCATTTGCTTCAGTGAGCAGATTGTGTGGCATGTGCATATGTGTATGTGTGTATGTGCACATTTCTGCACATGTAAATCTTTTGTGACAAGGAACTTTTCCTTGTTACAACAAAGAACATGAGCTGGACTTAAATCTCAAAAGCAATTACTATTCTCATGCCTTCATCATTGGTTCAGCAGGAAATAGACTACAGAGTGCATCACTGTGCTTTAAAGCAACTCCAAATTATTTCCATATGAAGATCCAGCTGCTCAGCCGTGAGCACCCTGGAGAATACTCACTTTTGGGCAGATTTGTCCAAGGCCTGTGCAAGCTTTTATTTCCCACTGAAACCTGGACCATACAGCATCAGTGGATTTCCATTTCTCATGGACCTCATTTAGGTGCCCCAGTGATGGTCACTTAATCCCAGGCATTTCCAGTGAGTATGGCATCTTCCTGGATTAAGAGACCACCCTGTTGCCCCAGCAGAGGACATTTCTTGGCCTCAGTGTGGTCACTGTGACAAGTCCATGTCTGAACAGCATGTGGGGGATTCCTGAGCTCTCACAAGACCAGGAACATATTAAGCTCCAGGGTAAGAGTCACAATTACCACTCTGTCTTTGCAAAGGGCTTAGAGGAAGAACCCCAGGAGCTTAGGAAGTGTAACCATGTATAGGACTGGTAAGAACTTGCTTGTGAGTGGAGTCACACTGACAATTCCCCTGAGATTTTGGCACACACAACGTTCTGAAAAAGCTTTCAGTGAGCTCTCACTTAGCAGGGTTGTCTGTAGCTGTGGGCCTGAGGTTTTTTCACCTGAAGGTCAGACTTATGTCTTTTGATAAATCTGAACACCATCATTAACAAACCTGATGCATTTTCTGGGAGATAGTGATACTGCTTGCTTTAAGCTATTTTTAGGAATCTGGCTTAAGTGATCTGAATGACCTCCTTTGTTGACAACAGAGAGAATTTAGGCTCCTCATTCTGGACTACATCTAAATTAGATGCTAAGAATAGCTTAAAGCAGAAGGTGTGAGTTCTCTCCTTCCCACCTTAAAAGAACTCCTTCCAGAAACATTCATTAGCTGTAAACACACAGTGTCATCTCACTTAAAAATGTGGCTTCAGGGCAGAGAGATTGCCAGGCAGAAGCAAAAACTCCTGTGACTTCTCTGCTTGCTGCACACACTTGGAAGCATAGGGGCACCTCAGATGCGTTCATATCCTCTCTGTGGCTTCCTCCTGGAGATCAGGAAGGTGGCAAACACAATGACAAACAATCCCAGGATACACAGGCACACTGCAATGGGAGCTACTCTGCCGTTTCTATCAAGAAAACATTCTTCTTCTGAAAGGAAAAGGAGATCAGAGAATGTTAGAGCAGAACACCATACTCCTAAACTGTACATCTCTATTCCACTAAAGTTGGCAAATACAAGTCAGAAGTTCTCAAAACCTTTCTTTTTTTTTTTTTTTTTTTTTTTTCTCCTTTCTTTTTCCTGAGCTATACTTACTACACTTTTATCTGTGATGAGCCTTATCTCAAGAAAACCATCCTTGCCCCTTCTGCAGTAGCTCTGTGCTTCCCTGGAGAGTGGCTCTTCTCCCTCAGATCTGCAGGAATTGTTTCACCACTCAGCACACACACTGCAGAGGCTTTCTTTGCAAAAGCAGATGGGGAGCATCACAATACAAAGTGCCAGCCTGAAAATAAAGAGCAAGACATCCTGCAAGGTCAAAAACTGCTCCTGTGTGACATCTGACTGCTTCTTCCCAGTGAAGAGGATCAGACCAGAGACAGAAGCCCATAGTCCAGCACATCACTAGTCCAGTGGGGATTCTTGTAAAGTCAGTGTTTTCTAAGAAAAATCAAATTCTAATTTTCTCTCTGTTTAATTCAGAGTGTTTGTAGATAATGGTGGCTAACTCAGAAGACTCAGAGATTAGAAAGGCAGAAGGCTTGGACATAGTCCAGGGAGTTGCTTTAGCAGTACCTTTGCAATTCTGTTGTACATATGATGATATCAGACACAAATCATATCTTTGAAGGACCATCCAAAGATATCTCTTAGCTACAGAGAGGGCAAATTCTGGCTTCCTCAGCCAATTCCTACCCAAATGAATATTCAAATCATCCTCTGATTAAACAGAATCTTATTACTTTAAAGTGAACTTCTAGACTGAAGTAAATTGGTAGCTTTCCTATGGAGAGACTGCATCATGTGGGCCACTGACAGAAATGGAAAATTTACCCAGTTACAATGGCAGGATCAGCCTCAAATTCAAAATACAAGTGTAGTCCTGGGAGTGAAGGCAACTTCTGGGAATGACCACTAATGTGTTATCCCAGAATTGGATCAGACCTACATCTCCCATCAGATCTACAGGAATGATCTTCCTCGTGCTCCAGGGAAAGACAGACCTCTGTCATGCTGCTGTGAGTGACAACTGCAGAGCAAACTGTTCTCTAAGCAGGGCAGCGTAGTCAGCTAAACCCCACAGCTAAACCCCACTGCACATCCCAGCTCAGCAGCAAATCCAGTTTATAGCAGGATACGAGGGAGATCTGACACCCTGTGCCCCCTCACGCCCTGCGACTGTTCTGAGGCAGGATTTGCTAGTGCCTGGAGATAAAAACCTTGACTCTTATTCCATGACTGTGCTGGCACAGGTTGTAGCTTGGCTTGGGCTTTTCCCCCATGGGAATTTTATTCTGTCAGTGGGCAATAAGCCAGGGAACATGTGGAGTCCATGACATCACATCACAGCTCCAGAGCCTCCACATAGTTCTTCCCAAAGTCTGATCCTTTTCTGCTCTAATCCAGATGGTGATGCAATGCCACAAAGCCAGCGGCATGAGCATTCTATTAGAGGCTGCCTTTTAAAAGCTCTGTCTGGTTAATGTAACCTGCTGTTAAATGAGCTGAAAAGTATTTGCATCTAAGTGTTGTAAAAGCCAAAGATGTTTGAATTGGCCATTTTGCTTTGATGAAACATTGGGAATGAAGGAATGAACTCTATGAACTGTAGAAATTGTTCCTGATACAATGAAGTACAGAAGGCTCTTTTACAGATTTCTAGACTCAAACAGATCAAGCTATTGATATAACACTGCTCTAATCTCTACAAAATCATTAGGAACTTCAAACCAATGACCATTAATGTTTTCTTTTTCTTCCCCATTTAAAGATAAGCAAATCAGGAGCAACAGAAGTGAAACTATCAGTCTTGAGGGGAGGAGGCTGGTGATGTTTAGTCATTCCTTCACTGGGGATTTTCTCTTTCAGAATTTGCACACGAAGCCAATACACAACAGTTTCATGACTGTTTTATAGCCACAGGGGAATTATTTCAGAGGTGGGAGCTGCTTTCTCAGCTCTCTGATTAAGAGTAAAACTAATTTAAATTTGTATGTGGTATTGACTAGCAGAGATTAGTCTGACTTGGAGAGAGAGAGGGAGAAACAGAGAGCATCCTTCCAGCTGAGTCTCTCCTAGAAGTGAGACTGTACCTAATACCATAAGTAATATCATTCATTGTACACATTTGAATGGGAATGCAGGGACCAGATGGGATCCCATGGGTTCTTCCAGCTCATTGTTATCCCATGAAAAAAATTTCCATAGAATGAGAGCATAGATGGGATTCTCAGTGTGGAGAAGGACCATGTCTTTAAAAAGTCCCAAATGTTGTTTCTCATTATATTCCTTTTAGAATGGAAAAAGGTAACAAAAATGGTGACCTAACAAAAGAGTTGGTCAGAGAGCCAAACTGAGTCAAAAGACAGGTCTAAATTAAAAAGAATACAGGGGCAGTATTTTGTAAGCATGCAGAAAAACAAGTGGCAGAATAGAAAATGTCTTACTGCTGAATCTGAAGGGCTGGAGAGCTGGTCAGCCCCTCTGTGCACGTGAGTTCTTGTATGGAAATGCCCTGAGAGGATGCCACAGAAATGAGAAAATGGACAACTTGAAAGAGACCACAAGGTCCCACTGAGTCCCCCTCTCTGGTCTTTGTCTTTTACTGCGATACCTGATTGTCTCTTTGTGGCACTTCTCCAAGAAAAGGCAAACTGAAGAGATGAGCATCATGTTTCATTCTGAAGCTGGGAGTGGGCCAGTTGTGCCCCTCCTCAGGAGCACCTTTCATCATGTCTAGACACAGCTGCTCTGAAAATATCATCCTGCATTCACAAATATCCCTAATCAGCTGGCAGTTTTGCTGCTGCAGCTGTGGGACAATGTATCAGGAGTCTTTTAGAATAGCTAAAATCTGGCTACATTGAGAACAGTGACCTGGAAATGAACTTTGCACGTTGGGGTTTGGGCAGTGCACTGGTGGTGAACACACCTCTGCTTGTTCAGGGAGAAAATGCATGAAGAAGAAAACTGTGTCTGTAGAGCTGAACATTTTTAATGAGAAGGTGAAACAGAAGGTACTAATTGGAGGGGGGAAAGATATTTTTCCATCCTCCATAGGTATTAGCACTGTGTTGGAAATGACTCAGGAGAGGTTGAGAAAACAGCAGTGGGATGCGTATGGGTATAATTTAGCAGATTACATCCATCAGGCCACCAGAGTGCTGTAGAGCTGGGAAGGCTGGAAAAGTATCCTTCTACTCACCTTTTCCAAACTGGTTACCCACAATGTCAAACGCCTGCAGCTGCATATGAACAAAGAGGATCTGGAAGTTCTTCTCCAAGGGGAAGGTTTGCCTGCTGGCACACTTAAAGGAATTCCCCAGCTTTGTTGTGAACAGCTTCTCATTTAGGGCTGCATAGTAAAGCATACCTGGAGGCCAGAGAGAGACAGATGAGAATCCACACTGACTCCATTGGGACCAACATCTTCCTGAGGTAAAATAGTCCCAGAGGTGACTAAAGCATGGACACTTTCTCCATAAGCTATCACTTATTCTTCTTACACTTTAAGTGAGTGCTTTAATTATCAATGGGCAACTCAGCTGAGCTTAGGTCTGAAAAAGTGGCTAAAATTTCAGATGCTTCTTCAAATCACATTTTAACAAATTGAGTCTGCAGGAGGAGGTTAGAATTCTCATAGGAGCAGGCAAAGTTTGAAGTAATCTCTATTCTGAAAGAGTGGGGCAGGGAAAGCTTTTGAGATCAAAAAGAAAATGCAATAATAGTGATGTAACTGCAGCCAGGCCCCTTCTCTCCCATTTTTATACCATAAGATTTAGGTGAATGACACATTGAAAGCTTGATAAAACACATATTTGCAAAATCCAGTCTTTTAAAGATCTGAAAGCTTATCCTACACCCAAAACAGTTTAATTATGAAAGTAAGACAGGTTAAAATCACTGACCTTCAGAAGATAACAGTATTCTGCTCTCAATTTTAGTCACAGAGTAACTTGGAGCTTGCTGCAAAAGAAGATGTATCTTTATTCGTAATACATGCTCATACTTGCAGCGGAAAGAAACACAGCTTACCTCAGCAAAATGGTCATAAAGAATTTCCCAAAGGAACACTTTGTAAAGCATCACCTTTGAGACCCAAGAACCAACTCTCTTGGATGTATTTTTTCTTTTCCAAATCTCAGCTGCATCACCAGTTCTGTTCAGTTCAGTGAAACGGGGCCATGCAGGTGTCATTTTACACAAACTGCTCAAGCTGGGCACTCATCAGATACTTGTGATAACCAATAGTAGGAAGATTGCTGACATGGAAAGCACCTGGCACAACAGCACAGACCAAAATTTCCAGCCAGGTGTCCTGCCTGCATGTGCCCTGAAACCCTGGTGCAGCCTGGACACTGCTCTCCCCCTGAGTGCCACAGGGCGAGAGCCAGCCCTGGGAGCTTCTCCCTGGTAGCAGTGTTGGAGTAAAATGTGATGCCTCATGCAGCAGCCCTGCTACCCTGTTTAATTCCTGCTGTGGGCACACAGGGATTCATGAGTGCAGCTGGTGGGTAAGTGGCATGAATGTCTGCTGTGCACCTGTAGGATGGAGTGGGAAAATTGAAGAAAGAAATGCACCAGAGAAGAGGTTCTCAGCATTATTCCAACTTAAAGACATAAATATGACCATTTTTGGGTGGCAGTGCTTTGTTCTGTTTGGCCACGGTTAAAAACTTTGCTTGGGGAAAACACCTGCTCCTACTTCACATCTTGTGGGTTGGTTACACAACTTCCTTTTTTCAAGCCCTTTGCAGAGGCCGCTGCAGTGGCGAGCACTGAACCAGCCCCTCTCCTCTGCCACCCCAGCCCTGGGACTCGAGCCAGCTCCTCTCCCACAGGGACAGCCACAAGTGCCACTGCTGGAGCGCTCCTGCTTCAAAGCACTGAGAGAGGCTGTGGGGACCAAACACAAAAAGCCAGCAGCAAACTGTTTTCTTAATAACTTGAATTTCAAAGCAGTCCAAGCTGAGCCCTGCTATGCTCTTGAGGCTTATCTTTAAGTGGAGGGTGCATTGTCTAATGCTGTGCCAAAAACCACCTTTTTCAGGGCAAGGCAGGTCAAGCACCTCCTAAAGGTTCACATCACTCTCCTTAGCGCTGCTGCAACCTGGGGGCTTTCGTGGGTACTTGAATCCCCAGCCTTTCCCTAAGGATTCTTGTAACACCAAAAATGCTCCTCTTGTTGCAGGAAGCACACATTTAAAGCAAACACTCAAGAGTCTGAACTGATCCTTTGTTTTGAAAGAGCTCCTTCATTTTTTACCTTACTTTTCCTCTGTAGCTCTTAGAAAACTTTTAGCCATAAGCTAAAATAAAGATGAGTACTAATCAAAATATTTTTTTCTGTTCAAGAATTAATGAAACATGTGGGGTATAATTTGCTGTTCTCTCTTGGACTTTCTATGAAAATGACTGATTAACCATTTGTAATTTTCTTAATTGTCTCTAATTTGAGCTTGGAACCAGGCAGCAAGACTGACATTTAGCTTGATTAATTGAAGGACACAGATCAACAGTGATGGCCAATGCAGCTCTCAGCTGCTGTGGAGCTCCAGGACATGGCCTTGATATTCATTACACCTGCCAGAGTTTGATGGGATCCAGCCTGTGCTGTGTTCCTGCCCCTTCCTCCATGCCCATTAATGACTTTATACACAGTTAGTGTTATATAGTAATATATAGTATAGTGTTAGTTCTGTTTTACCTCTGCTGGCATCATCACCCAGCCCTTACAGCTTTCAGGTAAATAGTGCTGCCTCCCAAAATGTGCAAATGCCTGATTTAGCAAGAGGATGCCTACACTCAGGGATTTTCTCCTGTGCTTGTAAAAGCTACAGCACTCTTGGTAGCTTGTGTTAAAGCCACACCTGCACGTGATGTGGCCCCAGTGGGGAACATGGAATTAATAGATACAATGTCAAAAACAAAGCTCAGTTTCCCACTGTGAAAGCAGGATCTCTCATCTTGCCCAAGTTTCTGTGTGTGTTTATAGTTCTCCCTGGTGTGGTGCATTTTAAGGCCACTTACCTACAATTTTGCTGTTGCAGTTCACTTGTTTGGAATTTTTCACTCAGAAATTAGATGAAATTAGACTGCTTCAGCCACGGATGTGTCATGGCTCCTGGGCACTTAAAAACTGCACAGGCTGTCCTTTGAATTTGACAACTCCAGGTAGTTTTTATGAGATGCAAATAGCTGAGAGCAACTTGACAGTGAGAGTCAGAGCTCCCAGCACACCTTATTCCTGCACAGGGACTCCAGTCCCAAACCCTTTCTCTCTGCACCACTCCAATGCAAACAGCAGATCTGACCTCCCCTCCTATGAAACTTTTACCTATGTAAAAAAGAGACTCAGATTTTGCTTGGTTATTCCTAGACTTTGTGTTGCTTGATGGGCAGCTTTAACGCTGCTCTCTGGCACTTTCTGTCAGAGGATGGCAGAGTACTGTGCTTAACCTTCCCTTCCAAATGGAAAGTTCAAACAGACCTGATTTAACACAGAAGTCAGTTGCACTGTGAGCATGACATTGCACCAGGCAGCCTCCAGAGGTATATTCCAATCTAGATTAATTAAACCATGGTCCTGTGGTTCTAGCCCTTTGGGAAGAACAGGAGTAACCATGCCTTATATTCAGATGTAAAATAAGCACAGAGATAGATAAAATGCCTTTTCCCACAGCTCAAGCTGGATCAAAGGCAGCTTTGCTTTGTTCTTGCTTTCCAGTCCCAAAGACTCCTTCCCTCTAAATGCAACAATTACCTTTACAAAGTTGATGTTTACAAATCCTCCACTAAAAGTTAAGTTCAGCTCAGACTGCACCATCCCACAGCTTCCAGATATCTTTGTCGCATTTGGGTTAACAGTCACATATTCCATCTGCTCCTGCAGAGAAAAGAGACATTGCAGGACTGCTGATGAATGAAAGCAAACATGCAGAGATTTAATAACTTCAAAACATGCAGAGATTTGCCCTTTTTATGCCCCCAGACAGGCTCTGCATGGCTGAATGAACAGGCTAGTGGTGGTGGCAGCCAAACCTCTACCTGCCAGAGTTGTTCCCCACTTATAAACCAGCACTGGTGGTTGTCTGACACATCACTGAGCTGTTCCAGTGCATTAAGCTGGCAGAAAATATTTGGTTTCTGTTCATTCAGTGAACTGATATGATTCAGGCAGAGTCAGGTGAGTATGAGTGGTAATTCACAAAGAGGGAGTACCTTATGTTATTATCAACATCTCACTATGGTCTGGTGAGGTTGGGAATCCTGCTCCCTTCCTGGCTTCTGCCAGGACAAGGGATGAAAATTACCTTTACCAACATCAGTCACTCTTCCTATTTTAGAAATATTCAGACATCAAACATGAGTATTTGTATTTGTAACAGGGATGGCATAAGAACTCCAGGGCCTGAGGATGTGGCTCCATATGGTGTATTAATGGAGGCAACAAAACCTTAATCCTGAGGGACACAATGGCCATTTCAGGTTGTATGGCATCTTTTGCTGAATCATTCTCAGTGGATCACTTCTAGGAGAGAGGAGGAGCTCTTCAGGACCTGGCAGCTCCCATGATCCTAAAATGTCCATACATCAACTTCAGGACAGCCTACCTCTAAATTCCAGTCTGTGAACTGGCAATTTCTGCTTTCCTTGCAACTCACAATGTCAAGCTCTTACCTGAAGTCAGTTCCGATTTTAACTAACCTCCCACTGTGGGAAGCACAAATAACCCTGCAGGCTGATCCCCTGCCCCAGCATTGCTCCCACACAAATATCACTGAAGTAAGAAAGCACCTTTACATCCCCTTGGCATCATCATCACACAGGCCAGCAGGGGTACAGCAGCAGGGATGCTGTGGCACACGAGGGGCCTTAGACTGGCAGCAAACCACTTATTTTGATCATAGAAGCTAATTCTGAAAATGGCTTGGAAAGAGGAAGAATAAACTCCAGCTAATGAATGAAGTCACTACAAAGCTCAGCTTCCACCTCACCTGTTGGGTATTTCGGGCCATCAGCTGCAGACCCATGACGGCTTTGACGCAGGTCCTGTTGCCATCAGAAACGGTGTAGGTGCCTGTGGGGATGGCAGAGGGCTGTGGGGTGGGACGGGGTCTCACTGTGCTGGCAGGGGATGTGGGGGCTGTTTGTGTCCCTGCATGGGTGCCTGTTGTGTTGGTCACGGCCGTGGCTGTTGGAGCACCAGTGGCTGCTGTTTGTCTCCGTGACCGCGTGCTGGGCCCGGCCCTCGGCGTGCTGGGGGCTGCCGAGGCGGAGGTGGCAGCTGCCCCCGGGGTACTCGCTGTCTCGTGCTTCAGGGAGGTGTTGGTGGCCACTGCCACAGTTCCTGTGGTCACACGTGGTCCCTTGCCATGCCTGGTGGAGGACACAGGGGCAGTGGTTGTGTTCTTGACCACCGCTGTAAGCGAGGGCATCGCCGGGGTGGTGGCCCGGCCGGGGCTGGGGCTGTCTGCAGGGGCTGTGGGTACAGTGCCTGCTCCTGCCTGGGCTGCCGTGTGCTGGCCTGCGGCTGATGTTGTCTTGAGCTGCTCCGTTGTCTGCTCAGCTGTTCTGTGGCCCATGGGTGTTGTTTGAAGAGAGCCTGTGCTGGTAAAATGAACTGCAGTGCTTTGATGGGGTGAAGAATGATAAAGGGAAAGTGGCTGAGCAGAAGTAGCCATTTGGTGGAAGGATGTGGTTTCTGGAGACAGTTCGACCCCCAGGGCCACTTCAGCAAAGCAGGAGGAAAATGCTGCAAAGAAACTAAAGTCAGTAGTCTAGAAACCTTTACATTTCACTTTTATGTTGATAACCACAACATACCTGCACTTTGTTATCAAATGGGTGATACAATTTCACTCTTCATTTGGCTCCAGTCATGATAGGAGAGTGAAGGCAGACACCCTGTAGGACTATCCACAGCTAGGCACCACTCCCCCAAGCTTCACACTTCTGAGTATTCCCATTCCAGGAGAGCACACTGGCTCCCAGCTCTCCACACACTGAGGAACCAGACCTTGCACAATCCCCAGGAATCACAAGAATTCCCTGCAGGCAGTAGTTCAGCAGGATTTGCTGGAAGCAAATTGTAAGGAAGATGAAGTGGGTATAGCAGCCAAAGGGGTTGTTGGTTTCTTACCAACGAAGTGTAGGGAATGGGGATGTGTCTGTGTGTGGGAAGGAAGTGAGGCAGTGCCATGGTCTTACAGTGATTCACAAGTCTGGGAAACCAGTCTGGGAACAGGGAAATTCCAGGTATTAATTTTGTTGTAGCCATGTCAGCTTGAACCCTGGAGTTCTTCCTCCTGGAAGAACCCAAAGAAAGACCTCCCTCTAAGTGATTGGCTTTCAGAAATGAGAAAAAAAAAATCAGGGTGCAGCATCCAGGAGCATTTTAGACCACATCAGGAAATAGTTTCAGCACCAAAATTATGATTCCACCTAATAACATTTACAAAAATGTGTCCCTTGCAGAAGTGAAAAAAAATAAAAATATCTGGCTCCTAAATGTAAATACAGAAGTGAACAAAAAGTGGGAAAGTACATTGTAGAATATTTGAATGTCCCAACTCTCCTGCTTGAGTCTTTGTGAGTGTGCAGCAAGACTCTGGAAAGACAAAGTCGAGTTAAAGAAATAAATCACTGATGTATGCGAATTCTTTGATGTTCATGAAGGTACAGGTAATTAAATGCTTTACTGCCTAAATTAGTGGGAGGACAGAGATAAATTCTCCAGTTTGGAGACAGAAGGGACCCAAAAGTCCAAGATAGCTCATATTCCCAGCAGTACAGCTCCACAGAGAATGCCTCAACATGTCTGAGTTCACTGTACACTGGTTCCTTCAAAGAAATTTCTCATGAATCAGTGTCAAAGTTGATGGCAGGCAGGCTGCTGAGATTAGAATTTTAGGGTAGATTAATGCCAGAGGCACATTTAGAGTGAAAATGGCTGAAATCTCACAAGTTCTTCCATTTATTCATTTATTTATTGCCAGAACAGAGATCTTCAATAATAGCTGAATTCACAAAATCTAGCAATTTTCAGATACATATAAATTAAGTAAGAATAATAAAACTTACTGGGTTTTGACTCAAATTCAAGATAAAAATAAAAGAAACAAGAGCAGATGCACAGATCTTAACCCTTACCACAATTTTGCCTTAAAAATGGCTATGCTGGAGAAGAGCAGAAATGCAGATGTAAATACACCTTACTCCTAAAATTGCCTGGGTTTCACTCTGAGCTGTACAGAACACACCTGACTGCCAACTTTAGGCGTTACCATCAAAATGCAACTTGAGACAGTTGAAAAACCTCAAAAATATAGTGTTTTTTCTCAAAATGAACCTAAAAATGCATAATTCATACGATACTTTAGTTAATTTTCTCTCTTTTCCCTAAGCTTTGCCACAGCTGATGCAGAGCTGTTAATCAGATGACTGATCTCCTTCTGTGGGGCCAGGGGAAAGCCAGAGCAGTTACCATGCACAGTTATGGGTAGCTGCATCCAAGTGTATCAGCATGATAAAAACAAGAAAGAAGAAGTTGCAGTTTTCACTCTTTCTTCCCCTCTAAGACTGTGAAGCAATCCATATTTAAATTTACACGAAATCTAAATTGTTTGGAGGTCTTCGTTTTCAATTCACAAATTGGTTTTGATTACTGACCAGGTAACACAGATGTAGAAAGAAATATTATTGAAGTGATATTAGAATGCCACCCATAGTTTTTAAATAAAACTCTTCAATAGGTCATTTCAACCCAAGTATTTTTCATTATTCAGCCGGACAGGGTGACCTGAGGGACAAAACCAGAAATGTCTTTGGAATGGCCCGTGGCTCTTGCTCACTGTGTGACTACCGGACTGTTCCCCCAAGCATTTTGGGGCTTCTGCCAGTGCATGATGGCCACACTGCTAAATCCATTGGCTTGGTCTTCCCAAAAGGCATTTGGCCACATCAGCTCCCAGGGATGGACAGGGATCACTCTGCAGCTGCACCCCTTGGCACTGGCTGTGTTTGGGTGGCTGCTGGAGGTGGCTTGGTGGCTCTGCTGTGTGAAGGGGCAGGTGGGCCCATGGGGTCCCTGACCTGCCCTCCAGCTGAGGCTGGGAAGGCTTCCAGGCTCCTTAGCATGGCCATGTTCCTCTCTGGGAGCCTGGCAGCACTCAGAAAGCAGCTGTGAGTACAAACCCCCCAGCACAGCCTTTTGTGGCTCTGCCAGCAGAACAGGCCACAGAAACATAAGGAGGGGCAGCTCTGCATCCCCCAGTAGTTTCCTTTCTTCCTTTTTTTTTTTTTTTTTCCTCCTATAAAGCCAACTCAAAACTTCATACAAGCAACATTTTGCTTGAGGGATGCAAGTGCCCCGGGGTGCATCTTCTTGGAGCAAGCAGCTGCAGTCCCCTTGTTTCACTTCAGCACCAAAATTGTGTGTAACAGATGCTGAGGGCTGTGTGAGAGCCCTGACAGCCTCCTTGCAATACTCCAGAACAGAACTCCCAGCAATGGACCAGCACAGTTCTCAGAAATTCACTGTTCCCAGTCTGGGCATGGAGATCCCATTTTTATGCTTGGTGACACGTTTTGTTCACCAGGAACATCACTGCTCTGCTCCCAGGTGTTATGGTGGCAAGCTGAGTGCTCCGTGCCGTGGCTTGGCTGTGCCATTTCTCGTCCTGTGCTGGGGTGTGTGATAGAAACTCCTACTGAGGATTGTTTCCCCTTTTCATCTAACCACACTCATCTGTTCAATTGCCCAGCAGTTTTGTTCTGCACTAATTATGTTTCATTCCCTGTCTGCATAGAAAGACTTGACTTTGTGACATTAATAAAACATCACAACAAATTATTAAAGGAAAGATCAAAATCAGGTAAAGACCAGAGGAAACAAGTGCTTTCTGTTAAAAAGTGATTGCTGACCACTGAATTATTAGTGTTGCTACCCAGTCTGATCTTGCTCTCCCTTTCATCTCTATGTTTTGGGGCTATTTCAGCAGACTTTGGCTATGAAGCAGGCATGGGAAAGCAGAGAGATACAACAGGAACTGCTTGTGGTTAAGTCCCTGGACACTTTCCCTGCTCATGGACTGGGAGGGGGACAGGGTTGTTCTTTGTGTGATCCCCATGTGCCGATGGCAAAACCCACCCAACAGCAACCTCAAACCCTTGGCCATTCCACAGATTAAATCACATTTTGTCCTCTTCACCAGGCAAATTTAGTGCTCCTGCAGGTGTTGAGCAGTGACTGAGAGATGTCCTTCATGTGTATGGCTCCCCAGATTTTCACAGAGCAGCATTAAGGATCAGATGGTGACTCTGAGGGCGTTTGTCACTGAGAGAAGCCCCAGCCTTCTCCAAGCCCCTGCCTCATTCCTGCTTTCCTAATCCTGCTCTGCATCTCTCAATGCAGATAAATTAATGACCTGAGCACTGCTTCCTTAGTTTTTTCTTTCCTGCTTGTCTCACTCAGGATTTTCAGTCAGATGTGCAGATCTGGAAATTATTTTTAATTACGAAAAGCAAAGCCAAAAAAGTCTGCTTCTAACAACACTTTGAGCTGACTCCTTCACACAGAGTTTATGCCACCACAAGAGTTCAAGGGAAAAGACAGAAGAAAACATCAAAAACTAAGTGTATACCACCACATAGTTTGATACACTAAGTGTATCAAACCAAGGGTGTACCAGCTGCAAAGAACAGCAGGTATGGTTATTTCTTAGCAGTGGGACTTTACTGAAAGCCCCCTTAGTGTTAGCAACACAACCGTCCAAAGTTTTGAGTCTGTTGGGTGCTGTCCTGACTGCAAGGAAACCGAAGTGACATAATGTCCCGTTTTTCAGGTAGAAATGATGCTGTTACTCACCACAGGCGAGGGTCAGCGAGATGAGCTGCCGTGCGCTCCTCCCCATGGCCAGCGGGCTGCGGGCTCTGCTTCTCCCCGGGAGCCGCTGCGGAGCGAGCCGAGCTTCCCTGAGACTGAAAAGTTTCACTTGGCGCAGGGAGTGCTCAGTCACATGGCTGGGAAGGAGGTGGAGAGAGAGGGGGAGACCGATGCCTCTCGCCTGTAAACTCACGCAGAAGGAAATAAATGATGGTTAGGAAAGAAAGTGAAAAGAGAAATGACTGCTGGGCTGACTGGGAGGAGACCTGGGGCTCTGCAAGTCCAGGGAAAGCTTCGTGCGTCTCCCTCATGTCTGAGAACCTGGTGCACAGTGCCCCAGCACAGGTTACAGCCTGTAAATCAGTGCCTCCCCTCTGTTCTTTAGAAAATACTCTGTTTAAGGCCAAACTCCATCTTGTTTGTTAAGGCACAGAAGGGAGAGGTGTGACCATCTCCACAGAGCACCTACTGACGGTAAGACAGGGCTGAGCAGAGCCCCAGACGGGCTCTTGCCCCATGGGGACCATCCTCTGCTGCCTGGCCCCGTGCTGCTCCCAGGCCTGCTCCAGCCAAGGTGGATGGGCAGGGGGTCGCTGTTAGTGCTGCATCCAAACACCCCTGCCACTCAGAGGCTCCTCTGTCACACAAAGGGCTCCTCTGGCACACAAAGGGCTCCTCTGCCACTCAGGGCTCCTGCACAGCTCCCCAGGCCAGGGCAGGAGCTGTGTGGGCACAGCGGATGAGCAGCAGGAGAGCATCACTCACTCCTGCCCTGGGCATCTGCCAGGGGCCTGCTTGGGGCAGGGAACAAAGCAGCCCCCATGCTGGCATCTGGTGTGCTCCTAATTCTTCTTTTCCTCATACCAATATCAGCTGCAGGAACACGGCGACGCCAAGGACTTGAAGAGTCAGGTGGGGTGAAGTTTGCCCCCAGAAATCTGGATACGGCATGAAATCAGCTCCAGTTTATATTGTTCTATTTGCACAGTGTTTCTACATTCTAATTTTTACCTGCTTGCCTTTCTGCATGATCCACGACTTGTATTTGGGTCAATTAGCATTCCCTAATGAACCCTGGTAGCCAAAGGCATGCAGATATCTCAGGAGAAACTATTATAAAGTCATCTAAGACTTCCACTGTGCTGTCTGTGTGAACCTTTGCACTCTCCTAAGAGTCTCAGTGATTCAAAACATGACTAAGGGAGATAGGTAAAGGAAAAAAACCCTATTCTGCCTTTTGACACGTGTGTTGGACAAATTCAACTTATATTGGACAAATGTGTCAATTTTTTCAGCTCTGATGATGTGCTTTTGCTGATAATTCATTTATTTCAGATAGAAAAAAAATCTCATTTTTCTTGTTGCTTCATATAAAGACATCAACCACAGGGTTTTGTACTAGTTATTAATTTTATAAATTTCAAACAAAGTGTGGTTCTACACAGGTCAGAATGGCCTAATTACAGGAAGTTCATCTGCACACTTTTTTCTTGTAATAAATTCATACATTCTGTATTGACTGGAAAAAAGGACAGGTAATTCTGTGCTCTTTCCCCGTCTGATTATCTCTCATCAGTCACAATATACAAATACATCATTATCAACACCATGGAAATCATGTAAGAAAACAAACTGTACCAATTCTCAGCTGGGGAGAGGAAATCTTAGCAGCTATTTCAGTCCAGCTGCAAGAAGAAATACACATTTTGGATATTTTTCTTGTTATTCTTATATATTTCTAATCACATATATATATATATTTGAAGTCTTTGAGTATTTTTGGAGAGGAAGCTCATGGCCTTTCTCATACCCAATCGAAGATTCTAAGAAAATCATAGATAATAAAATGGCTTCTCATCACACACACGACCAGAACATGACACACACAGAGCTTTGCTGTCACTGGCGAGGAAAGCCAGAGCTCAGATGTGGTTTGGCTGCAGCTGTTTGTGTTCAAGACAACCAGCACTGCTCTGGTTCTCCACCTGGTGGTGTTCCAGGTGAGAGGAGAGGATCAGGCTGATTCTGTTTTAGCCTGGTTTACTAAAAGCAAGACTTGTGTGTCGTGCAGCTGCCCGTCTCTGTTCGTCACTGGTGCCAGGGAAGGACTCTGCAGCCCACCCACACCTGAGTGAGCACTTCTGAGGGCAGTTTTGAGCATGTGAAGTTTCTGAAGTTTCACAGAAGAGCAGCAGGGCAGAGAGAGCAGAGCCCAGGCAAACCCTCAGCCTGGAGGGCAGGTGTGACCAGCCCAGGCCCAGGAGCACAGCCAGGCTCAGGGCCAGCAGCAAGGGCTGCTGCAGCACGGATTTACCTGGGATCTGGTGTCTCCTACAGCCAAATTTTAGTCACAACCATTACTTTTAATTGACTTCTAAATGGTCACTATAGCATCTCCAAACAACAACTGAAATTAAATCCTTATTTGAAAGCTGTATGATTTTTAGGTCCATCTACCTGAATAGGATGGTGTCAAAGATCTACAGACTGAAATGAAATCCTTATTTGAAAGCTATGATTTTTAGGTCCATCTACCTGAATAGGATGGTGTCAAAGATCTACAGACAGAATAAGTATATCCTAACATAACACATTAGTCTTGCTGGACTTTACCAAATCATCTTCTAGAGTGTACATGGAGAGTCATTCCCTTAATTATCACTTTGCTTGACAGAAATACACTAATTAAAAGACTGTCCTGCATACTGTTTTAAAAACTCAAAAAGTCATCAAACTCTATTTTGTCTCATCAGCAAAGGCAGAAGGTTGCTCCTTTGTCTCTCCATCCATCAGCAATGTCACAAATCTTCAATTTGGCAGTTTCATACACTCAGGGTAACCCTTCTCTATCTCTCTCTCCCACACACAAAAGCTTACACTTCTCACTAATGTGCAATCAAAGCTCCCTAGCCCTTCCCTCTCCTGTGCTTAGGGCAGGGGTAGACAGCAGCACTGTTCCTGTGCAAAAATTACTGAAAGTAATAGAGAAACCAGAAGGAACTCATTTTAGAGGGAGGATAAAGTAATTGCACTATAAGAAAATGTCGCTGCATATTTCCTTAGGGGACTGAAAGGAATTAATTCTTCCTGCAAGATGCTGATAACCACAGTAGACCAAGAGGATTCATGTTCCTGAGAGCCTACATGTCAATTTTGAGGTAAATGGCCAACACAAACAGGCAAGCTCCTACCTCTATAGAACAAAAAAAAAAACTTCCAGAAAGGTCCTTTAGTCATGAACAGAAAATGTAAAAAATCACAGAGTTTAGATATGGAGGGTTAGAAGAGCCATGGGATTCAATCACCACTGTGCAACTCATAATCAAGCAATAAATCTTCACAGGCAAAAAAAAAAAATCTGACTGAGCCTTTACCTGCTCCAAGGCTTTTTCTCAAGCAGGACTATCTGCCTGCTCCACAGCTATCCTGACTCCCACACTAAGGTACTTGCAACACCAGCCTCCACTGAGACACAAAGGAAAACATTCGAGTCCCTGCGAAGGTGAGAGCAGAAATGATACACACACCTACTGCTTTGCTCAGAGGCTCAGTTAGTAAAGAGTGGGTTTTGGTTTGCTTCATCTCCATTTCTAGTGCTTTTAGTGCCCTTTGTTATTTACATAAAGCACCACTAGTCTGAGGGTTAAACAAAACATCCCTAAGAGTGAAAGCCACTCACTCTTGAGCTTCTTCTGGGCTCATTTTTACCAAACTGATCTTTGCCTGTTTGCAGATCTTAGTCAATATTTATCTTTACTAGCAGCTAGTTTAAATAGCTAGTTTAGCTATTTATCTTCACTAGCAGTATTTATCAGTACTAGCAGCTTTTGTGGGACATAAGACCCAATTACCATCAAAATGCCTTCATGCCTTAACAGCTGCTCTAAATGAGCTAATGGCTTGTATAGGAATCATATCATCTGTAATCACTTTATATTATACATTACATCCTTATGTGGCAGAGATTTGGTACAGTCCTTTCATCAAACATCCGGGAAAGAAGTATTTAACAACAACACTTTATCCACTCATTGGAGCATCTAATGCTCACTGCCTATTTGCAATGCTTAAGTATATTCCAAATGGGGGGTGAAATGTATCTACTCATAGCCCAGCACACAAGGAAAGCATGCAGTCTACTCAAACATGTGACAGTAAATGGCATTCAACTGAATTCTCGGCACCGAATGCAAAGGGTTGTGATCCAGCAACCAGAGACTGTAGAGGGGGCAGAGGAATGACTTAGACTGTAAAAAGAGTTCAGAGTGTTCTTTGTCACAGTAGCTGTTACATGTCTTTACTTCCCTGCTTAGCCCTGCACCTCCCAGGCAGGAGCTGCCACCGGCACCGTGCCAGGTGTGGAATGCTGTGTCAGCAGCCACCGCAGCGGGGTCACGTCACCGCTGCACGGAGCCTGATGGTCCCAGCCAGAACTCTCCTTTCCACAGCCACCCTCAAGTGGGGTGTTTTTGGTGTTGACTGACAGCAAAAAGGGCACATTTGTGATGATGCATCAGCTGGAATTAAGGAGGACAGGGAAGGCACAGCCAGAGGCAAGCAAATGGAAAAACCTCCAGGTGACCCCAGGGTGGAGCAAGGACTGGTAACCACCACGTGCCCCTCTGCAGTGATGTGGTGCTCAAGCAAAGTTGCCAAAAGGTGCGTGCATAGAGACTCTTCAGCTCTGCTGTCGACCTAATTTAGGCCACATCTTCTGAAACAGTTTGATAATCAATGCGAGAAGCATTTTTCTCCTGTAATACTGAAGGTAGGTTTGATGTTTTCTGGATGTTTAATGCTCCTTTCAAGTTTGTTTTTCCCAGCTTGCCAGGTGGACAGCACAGTTCTCATCTGTTCATGTTGATAAAATTTTAGTGAATTGTGAACCTCAGAGCTTGTGAGAAAGGCAACTTTGATCCAGTGTCCACCCAAGATCAAGACAGGTGGACAGGGTCCTGAGGAAGGCTGGTCCTGCTGTTCAGCTGCCAGCCCTCTGTTCTGCTGGGAAGCTTTTGGCCACCTCACTTTCCTTCGTGTCTGACTCTACTGAGGCTGTGCTGCAGGAATCGTTGTACGTGTCTGAAAAGGAGGACATGGGCATTGTCACTACAATATGTCTATAGGATCTTTCATCTACAGTCTCAAGGTTCTTTGTTAAAAGCCTGGAATAAAATAAAATATAAAATCACAATTCTACTGCTCTCCTAATTCCTTCACAAAAGGCAAGGGTGTAACTGGTGAAATGGTGTGTAACTGTAATGTGTGCCTGGCTTTGTTTTTATTCTGAGTCACAGGACATGCCAGTGAAAGGAGAGCCATTGTTGGGCTGGTGAGGTGAAGGAGCAGCAATTACCAAACTCCCTTTACACCACAGCAAAGAATCCTGTGGTTGAAAAAGGATTTCCTTCATTTAAACAAACTGACCAAAAAAATCAAAAGAGATCAGTAACTCAGAATAAAGTGCTGCTAGCTCTCTATCACAGATCCTCAGGGAATGGCTGTGCCAGATTTTGCTTTCTTCTGCTACCAGAAGAAAAGCAGGACACATTTGGTAAATTATATTTAAGGATGGACAAATATTAGTCTGAATTGTAAACCTTTGATCTTCAGAGTTGCTCAGATTCAGCTTTTCCAGTGCAACCTGTTTGGGTGTTAGGTCAGAACCAAAGCTGTGACTGGATGACTTTTAGTGCTGATTTGGCTGAAATCTTGCCAGAGCAGCCTTCCTGCAGCTTTTGGAGCCAGCTGTGAAATATGATGAAGGCAGTAATGGTTCATGAAATTTTAATGTTTTCAAACCTATGCCAGAAGCACAGCCCTGATGCTGGTCTCCATCCAAAGTCTGTCCATGCCAGGATCAAAGCTGTCCTGCAGGCACACCCTGTGTATGAGACACTTGGGCTCACTGTAAAGCAGCCAGCCTGAGTACTGGTAGCCATAGAAGTTGGATGGGAGATTGAAGTTCTGCTCAGATAGGGGAAAACAATTAAGCCAGGCCAAGGAACACTGCTGTGCCTGACTAGCTGTGACACCCAGGCACCAAATTTCAGGTTAGCTCAGCCATGTCACCAGAGACTGCAGCACAGACATGCACTCAGATGAGTACTTCAACACAGAAGTGCACTTTTTATCACATTTATTTTTGCTATCACATTCTTTTTCAGTATGGAGAAGAAAAAAAACAAACCAGTAACACATTTTCTCTATTACCTGCATTGCTGCTCTTAATTATGCTGTTACTGTCCCCCTCTGCTGGCTGCAATATGCTGGAGGGAACCCAGTCACTTTTCTCAGAGACCAGTTTCTTCACTAACCTGAAACTCAGAGAACAGTCAGTGAATTTTCCTACATTTCTCTTCCCTGGGTTGTGTTTCTTAGAGGCGCATGTTTGGCTATTATTTCCTGAACTAGGGAAGAAGGCAGAGGGCCCAGGGCAGTCCTACAGGTATCCATACAGAATCACTGTGTTGGAAGAGACCTTCAAGATCATTGAGTCCAACCCAGCCCTAACACCTCAGCTAAACCCTGGCACCCAGTGCCACATCCAGTCTTTTTTAAAACACATCCAGGGATGGTGGCTCCCCACCTCCCCGGGCAGACCATTCCAGTACTTTATCACTCTTTCCATCAAAAACTGTTCCCTAATATATAACAACCTATATTTCCATCTTTTCCAGGAGGTTCTGGCTGTCCCAGCTGTCCAGTTCTCTCTCTCTGCCATACTCACCATTGGCCATTCTCTCCTTCCTGCACAAACTGCACTAAATCTCCATCCTCGAGAGTAAGAGAATCTGGGAAACAGCTGTCAAAGCTGCCTTCGACCCGGAAGAGATTGCTCCCCTAAAATGAAAGAAACAAAGCACCAGAAACAATCACTATGGATGAAAGAACACTGTGCAAGAGGTTTTAGTTAAATACTGAATTAGGTATTTCAGGCTGGCAGATATTTCTTCTGTAGGCAATTGTGTTTTATCATGCCCAGGTTAAATATTACTCAAAATTTGGATAGATCTGTTCTCTGCATTTAGACTTTAGGCTTAACCCACCAGCCATTATTCTGATATAAAAATTGTGTTCGTGACACCAGGTGAAGTTATCTGGAAAAGTACGAAATTACTTTTTTAAAGACTCAGAGTTTTCCTTCACTTTTGTAGCAGGCAAAGTGGCAGCTTACAAGTATGGGTGACATTTTATGATCCTCATCCTGATCAACAAAATCTTGTAATAATCTTCCAACACCCCAGATGAAATTTCCATTTACTGTTCCCACACATCCATGGATTTAAGCTAGTATGAACCCAAACTTTGCAGGTTACATTGTGATCCTTAAAGAGAAGGAAGTTGTGCTGGGAAAGGGCAGTGTAATTTTAAAAAGCAATTACATTGTTAGGGTTGGTCTCTTCCTCCAAATCAGAAGAGTTGGAGAGTTCATCCATGCTGGAGGGGATGGCTTCAAAATCTTCAAATGTGTCTAGAGAAGGCATTTGTCTGCTGGGCCAACCTTTTCAAAAGACATAAACCAGAAAGAGTTAGCTATCAGACATTAGACTCTTTGATAATCAGTCTCTAAAATAAATGTCACAGGTTCACTTCCCATTCTTCCACTTACCAAATTGCTGGTACTTTTTTATAGCTTATTCCATGGTTTTGCCATAAAAATTATGTCACAGCCATTATTCTGTCTCTAAAAGCCTGCACCACTCACTGTCCCTGGTGTGAGAGCAGTGTGTGTGGCTGCAGCGTTCACACCCATGGATATTTCCAGTGCTCAGCACTGCTCAATCCCTTCAGCTCAGGAAGTACAAAAAACAAGGACCAGGAGTCTTCCAGCAAATGATAACTTGCGCTGACACGACTTGCACAAGGCCATGATGATTCAGTTTCCAGCTTACCTCCACATGTTTAAGTACAAAGCCATGGAATTTTTGTTGACTTCTTATCTCCATCTCACCCCAAGGTGATATTACTACCTGAGGAATTTACAAGACTGTATGCTGGAGCAGGCCGCAAGTGCAGGGAAGGGACAGAGGAAACAGCAAGGCACAAAGACAGCCAGGGGGGTGAGGAGAGATCTCAGTCATATTTGTGCTGTTACCTGTCTCACTGCATGATTTTCACCAGAACCACCCCAACCCAGTGGAATGGACTCAGCGAGAGATTTCCAGCCCAAGCTCAACAGCCAGTCTTGCTTCACCTAGAAAGGCAGGTCCATAGGACGTATCCTTAGGGAAACTGAGGCAGAGCCTTATGAGACCTCTCTGCCTGAGGCTGCCATGGTGCAAAAGTAGCTCAGGCTCTTTTGTGCAGATGGCAATCATCGTCTGCACTTTCCTGCACTTGATGCCTGTCCCTTTTCTGGTGGAATGGGGATGACTACAGTCCAGCTCAGGGGAAACAGACCTTGCATCTACCAAATGATTCTGCAGCCCTGACAGATACAAGCTGAATGCAGTCAGTCAATTTACCATGTGCCTTCCTAAATAGTGTACCTGCTGGGCATTAGCTGGTTCACAGGGACTTGGGTTGAGCAGATGCTGAACCAAGTTCTTTACATCCTGTGGGTCATTGCTCTCAACAAAGCGAAGCTCTGACCACAAGGCATGGAGACAGATGCTCCCACAGTGGGATTGTGCACATCCCAGCACACTCAACCCACACCAAACCCTGCCCTGAGGCAATACAAAACCCAAGCCAGGCAGTTCAGACAGTAAACAGAAAAGTGACCTGATCTGGGAGAAATAGGTTTATTGATTGGTTTATTTAATCCCTCCCCATGCACATCCTCCCCGCTATAAGCACTGGTTGGTGCAACACATGGTCATGCAGCTCTGCAGCCCCTTCTGCCACCCTGCCACTGGGACTGTCTGCTCCAACAACTGCAACCCAGTTTCAAGGGACACAGGGACCTTCTTCCAGCACAGCTGCATCCCCAGTATGCCCCCACAGGTATGGTCGGGTCATCTGTGCTTTTAAAGGTGTAAACCAGCCTCTGAAGTGACACTGTCCTGTACCAGTTTATTCATACCAGCAATACTAGCAAGGGTCTAAACATACAAGAATATCCTGATTCTAATTCACTTCAAACTGCTACTGCAATTTTAGTTCAAATGCACAGGCTGGACTACAAACACCAAGAGAAAACTACCCCACCAGACAAAGCTTCCACAGTCTTTTGTCACTGTCATTTAGAAACCTCACCAGCAAGAATTCCTTACAAATACATGCATCAGCCTCCCTCTTCCATACAAATCACTATTCTCATTTCAGAGACTCAGAAACAGCTTGTTTCTCATGCTTAATTCTTATAAAATAAGACATCAAATTCTGAGATCTCTTGCTTTCAATTAAAATAATTATTTTCAGCCTGACCTCAGAAAACCAGAATCTGGGGCATTGTTTCTAAGCTTGTAATCCAAGCTTGTTCTTTCATTGTTTTGATGGGAAATAATATTTACCAAAAGAGAAAACTCTCCTTATAATAAAGAGAGTAAATATTATCATAAATTTAGTTTGCACTCTCAAATTGAATTTACAAATACTTTAATTTTGTTTACCTGTCTGTGAAGCAGATCTAGGTACGGATCTCGTGGTGGAACCGGCATTACATTTAGTCTGGGCCAAAATGGTGTTCTCAAAAGCATCTGTGACAGGAAGTACAATTTGTGTCTTCAAGGTGAAATAGTGACCAGACAACCAGTACAAAGTGAATTCCTGCATCACCTCTGCAACTGACAGTCTCTTTAACAAACAGGTGGACTGGGGTCCAACAGGTATAAAAGAGGAGACACATGACCAGCACAAATGAGTGAAAGGACAGCAGCATTCCACAGAAAAACTGTAAGTCTGAGAAGGACAGAGAACAGTGAAATGAATCAAACAGAAGTATTGATGTTAATTAAGGAAGACAATTCCTGAGTGAACAGTGCAATGTTCTATTTCATTACAGCTTCTTTACCCATTTTTAAACATATTTTCCTTGCAGCTTTTCAAATAATTTTGTAGGTGATAATTCATGGTTTTGATCCTAATCCATACAGCAGCAAAAGGGGACCAGGGAGACCAGAAATTAATGATTTCACCCTTGATGAATGCAACAGGATTTTGGGGGTGGGGGAGTCCCTTGTGTTATTACCTCAGTCAGAGCCCTGGCAATAGCAGCAATCTCTTCTGGTAAAGGAGTGATAATGTTCATTGTTTCCTACTTAAAGATACTTAAAGATGCTGAGCAGCAGTACCTTGTTTATAACCTGTGAGGAGCAAGTCAGTTCTATGCTGCAGATAGCTCTTGCACCTTGAAATCCCCTCTGCCCCTGCAGCCACAGGGGATGCTGAGATCAGGCCATCTGTAGTGAGGGAAGCAAGGCATAAACCCCACACTTTGGGTGGTGCTGGGTGCCAGGATGGTTCAAAACATACTGTCAGGGGTCACTGGCAAAAGGAAATATTTTGCAAACAGCAAAACTACTTCTGCTGTCTCTAAATTGTTTCTTCCAACCTCTCTGTTCCTCTTCTGCTGGGAGTGCCATGGGGGATAGCTCTGATATTTGACCAGTTCCATCACTGACCTGTTCACTGGCTCTTCCTACCAAGTTTTTGTGCAGAACAACACAATGCTATGAAAGGAGTCCTCAGCACACATCTCTCTTCTGCCTGTCCTGCAGCAGAGGTACCTGGCTCCTTGTGTCCCCCTAGGGCAAATGGTCTGGGGAAGGGGAAGGCTAACAATGGAAGCTGGTGATCTTCCAGTGGCTGAGGAACAGCATCCCAATTTAACTCTTTGGTCCTGTTTATTAAACAGCAATTTATTAATCTGCTGCAACAAATTGGTGGAAATTCTGCTTGTCTGAAATGAAACACTGCACCTGAAATGGCTATTAATACACAGTCTAGCCTCCACTGTAGTCCTTATGCACGTAGCTCCTGCTCCTCTCATTAAGAGTAGACACCAACAAGGGAAGAGGGATGCAGGTGGAGGTGAAAAGGAGCCCCTTGGCTCCCTGCTGCTGCTCCCTATGGAAGGAGGCACAGCCAGGCAGAAAATCCAGATCCAGGTGACAGTCTAGAGCTTTACTTCCCAAAACAGGCAGAGAACTGGGAATTTAATTCAGGCCCATGCCTAGGTGAATATGAGTGCAGGGGACAGGCAAGGGAGTAACAACTGCCTTTGACCCAGTTATGCAGATAAACTGACCCCAAGCCCCTAATGGACTCCAGTGTCACCGACCAGCTGTGATGAGATGTGAATTCAGTGAATAATATCAAATGAGGTTTTCATGCAGGATGGAAATACTCCTACCTTCAAACCCCAGGGGAGTTGGGTCACTCTTTATTTCATGTCTCTTGACTTTAACTGCAGGAACAAGGGGACCTGTGTGGAGTTTATAGAGTCACAAGGCTGTAAATAGTGTTAAAGAAGAAACTTGCTTTCCTACCACCTAAAAACACTAACTACCTAACACTTTTAATTTCACCCAGAAGAATGACCAACCCCTGGGTTCTAGGTGGTGAAGATACACACTTCTGTGAAGTGGATAGGGAGCAGACCCCTTTTGTCAAAAGACATGGAGACATCACAACAAAAGAATCTGCTTCCCTTTGGGTCTCACAGATGTTGCCTCTCTCTCTTGCCCAGGAGATGGCACTAAGGCAGCAGACCCACAGTCCCAGCCTTCAGCCGTGAGCCTGGCAGGACACAGCCCACAAAGCCAACAATTCTGACCCACAGAAGTGGGGGACACCAGCCACAGGTCCGTGTGCAGCCCCTCTCCTGTGCCCGACTGCAGATGTGGGGGGAGCTGAACTGTCAGGAGGGAGGGTCAGACACAGCAGCAGCTGCAGCCTCAGAAGTGATGACCACAACACGCTGGCTAGGTCTGCATCTGGGCTGATGCTGAGACAAGACTCAGGCTTCACTTATTTTGTCATCTGAAATATTTTCTTAAAGCAGATGCTGTAACTAAAAAACTTAATTGAAAAGCACTGATTCTGTTTTCGAGCTTTGAAAGTCATTGCAGAAGTAGCTTTCTCAGTATCCCAAGAGATTGCCAACAGTCTTTTGGCAGACAGGATTCTAGGATAGGACTTTTTTAATATGAAACTGTAACAAATTTTAACTTTCATTGCAATTCACACATGCTCTCTTTGATACACCACACTAAAGAACAGCCCTTGGTTGCCCATTTTCTTTGTAGATATGTGCTTCTTTATGTTCCCCAGCTTTGAAAAGAATTATTAGGAAATAACTCGGTCTTCCCACAATTTAGCAACTGATCATGTATTTCTGAGTTGTTGCTGAGGGCAAAAAGCTGTAATAACCTCTTCTCATGTGCTATGCCCATCACTTCCATGTGAGGAGGTTCTAGTGCTGTGGTCTAAAGGTGCTGTCAAAGAAACATTTTTAGGTAGTGAGACTATCACATCCTTCCTCGGCCCATCAACCCCACTGTGCCCTCATTCCCTGACAGCCTCACTGCATGGGGCTCATATCCTTCACAGCTGTTG